GTGAAATCCTGGGATTGGGAAGGGGGGGGGCAATATGGGAAGCGGGGGAAGAAATTGAACATATGGGACAGCATGGTGAAAAATGGGAAACTGTGAGAGACTGGGGGGAAGTATGGAGACATCTGGGGAATCCTGGGAGTTGTGTGTACTCATTCGTGTGCTCCTGGGCCCCGTCATCATCGCGCATCCTCGTGACACGGTGAAGTCGGGCACGTCCCTCTACAGGGGGACTGTGCAAAACTAACCAAAACACAGTTTTGGGGACTTTTTTGTTTGTGGATTGACATTCTTGTTTGTCTTCGTTTCGTCCAACATCCTCCTGCAGGGGGGCACGCCTGACCTAATGATACGGGCCGACGGCGCGCACAGAGCGGGCGCACGGGCGCGAGAGGGTGAGGGATGGCCCTTGGGAGAAGGCAAGGGGGCCTCCTCCTCCTCCTCCTCCTCCTTCCTCCTCCTCCTCCTCCTTCTCCCTCCTCCTCCTCCCTCCTCCTCCTCCTCCCTCTTCCTCCTTCCTCCTCCTTCCTACTCCTTCCTCCTCCTCCCCCCTCCTCCTCCCCCCTTCTCCTCCCCCCTCCTCCTTCTCCTCTCCTCCTCCCCTCCTCCTCCTCCCCCCTCCTCCTCCTCCTCCTCCTCCTCCTCCTCCTCCTCTCCTCCTCCTCCTCCTCCTCCTCCTCCTCCCTTCGCCCTCCTCCTCCTGGGGGGGACTTCTCTCGGTGGGCGCGGGGGGGCCTCTGGCCTCTCTTGGGGCAGCCGAGCGTTCTCTGGGAGGGATTTTGGGTCCCGAACGGCTGGGCGCAGGATAGCTCCCGGTGGGCGCAGATGGACCCGTGCAGGTCCAGGTGACGCCAGGCACATCTGGGCAGCTTCAAGTGCAGTAAACCCAGGTGAAGCCAGAGATCTCCAGGGAAATTTTGAGCAACTCGTGGCCGCTCCAGCGGGAGCCCAGCGACGGCAGGAGGCGTCAAGCCCTTCACGATCTGGGGAGAACGGCAGGCTGGCGCCGAGCTGGCGCCGCAGCGACCCCGGCGCGGGCGTTTCCGCCGGAGCTCCGCCAGTGGCCCGGGCTCGGCCGACATCGAGCGATTTGCGCCATCGGCAAGCCTGAGGTCGGGCCTGTCCCCCTACAGGGGGATAGTTGACGAGAAATAAAAAATACCCCCCAAATAGTCAAAAAATACTCAACAAATAGTCTGGGGAGTACTTTGGGGTATTCTTTGACCTTCTTGGGGTATTCTTGGGGTATGTTTTGTTTCTCGTCGAACATCCCCCTGTATGGGGGACAGGCCCGACATGAGGCAAGCCGCTATCGCTCCAGGCGGAACGACCCGTGTGGGGCCAGCAGCCAGCGGCCAGCGCCCGCGTCGTCGGAGGAGGGCCTGCCGAGCACGTCGTCGGCCCTCGCTTCCGCCTTCCGAGCGGCTTCGGTGCCGGGAGGCCGTCACCGGGCCCCAGGGAGCGTCGGACATCGATCCGGGGCGGAAGCTGCCCATGACGAACGGACAACACGCACCCATACCCATAGGGGGGTCGTTGGGAGGAGGACTGGCTATGGGTATGGGTGCGGGTTGTCGGACCCTGGGCAACGCTCCCGTTCGAGCGGGGACCCCCATCCGACAACACGCACCCATAGCCCTCTCCGACCCCCCTACGGGTTTGGGTGTGTGTTGTTGGTTCGTCAGCCCAATGCGGGCCCCAGGGCCAAGAGGCTCCACAGACTGGGCTTCAGTCGGGCCTGTCCCTCTACAGGATGACAATTCAAGAATAGTTGAAAAGTAGTCTGGGGACGATTTGTTGACTATCTTTGAATATATTTTTTGGGGAGCATTTTTATCTTTCGTCCAAAATCTGCCTGTAGGGGGACATCCCGACCTAAGACTGGGCTGCCCCCTCCACGAATTGACGGGGTGGCATCTGCTCTCTGGCGGAAGGCCTGCGGATGCCAGCGGACACCACACCTGGGACGGCCCCACTCGCGAAATTTGGAGCGTGCCTCAGCCGAGTTTTTTTTTTCTGGGATGCCGGTGATCTTTGACCCTCGCCTTCCCTGCCTACCAACCACCATGAGGGAGCAGCGTCCTGGAGAGAAAGAGGCTCGTGTGCAGGTGCTCGACGTGTTCGGCGTGTCAGGAGTTCGGATTCGGAGTCTGTTCTGACCTTGTGTTACCAGGCTGCGTTGCGGTCCGTGTCTGCTGTCGTGGGGGGCCCGTTTGTATGAGTGATCGTTCGGATCATGGGGGAATGCGCTCACAGCGGTTTGATACATCCATCCGTTCACCTCTCTCTCTCTTCTGTCCTCCTCCTCCTCCTCCTCCTCCTCCTCTTCTGTCCTCCTCCTCCTCTGTCCTCCTCCTCCTCCTCCTCCTCCTCCTCCCCCTCCTCCTCCTCCTCTGCTTCGCGATCTCTTCTCTCTCTGCTCTGGATGCGAACGGCCCGCGCGCGAGATAACACCATATGCCAAAGGAATTGCCTTCGTGGAGGAAAGAATGGTTCTCGACGT